TAGTAATTACAAGGCATTTGGGGCATGTTGTTAAAAACAGCAGCATTCAAAAGCAAGACCTTCTTTCCTAGATAGAATGAAGTCTGGATTCTCAGCTGCAAGGGGTATAATCAGAAAGAAATGTGATTTGATGCAGCAGTCTCCTCAGGCATGATTTGCATGAAATGGTGTTTAGGACACATCTAGTGGGCGTCAATCACCACCACCTGATACCACACACCACAGCACAGCCCAGCGGCAACCTCATCTGCTGCTCTACCTAACACTGTAACTGCTAAGAAACTCATTCAAACTTACCAGCACAATTTTCATTTTTATTTTAAACAAAGAGCACTAAGAAATTATTTAACAGCTGAACTACTTGCTATTCAACCGGCTAACTAAAATGTCCTCACCCAACACACCAATGCAAAATCAAAAGACTATATTGGTTCTAAAATACCTTAGGTCAAGAATCCTGAAAATATTAATTACTTGGGATTTATCCAGAAAAAATAGCAATTGGATAGGAAAAGAAAAAAAACAGTAGGTTAGAAAAATCTCAAAGTAACACTTTAAAATATTTCAACAATTAACATTTTCGTATTACTTTCAGTAAGCAAGTAATAAGTTTCAGTAAGAAACAATATCTCTTCAATGACAAAAATGTGAGTGGAAAATCTATAAGAGAAGGACTTATAATTTTATATTAGTGACAAGAACACCAGGGAAAGCCTTTGTAGAAAGAGAAACCAATCACATTATTAACATGTAAAATGAAGAACACAAGATTGAAAACAGAATTCAGATAGAAACACAGATTCTGACTTCATACAAGGAGAACTAGCAAATCCTCTGGAAAACCATTTTCCTTCCCTCTTTCTTATTAAAAAAAAAAAAAAAGAGAGAGACAAATGTTTTGTGAAATTACACTTGAAGGTCCTGACATGAACCCAATGAATGGTCTGGTAGGTAGCAGGAGCAGCAAGGAGCCCAAAAGCAGGACCTGTGAACCCCGTGGTATATGCTATTTCCCATGTCTATCAGTTCATGTAAATCTTCACTACTGGGAAAGAAGGGGAGGGAGATGAAAAAAGAATCAGGATGTGTTATGTACATGCACCAGCTCCCCACAATAAATGCAATCATTATATACTGCAAACATGGTCTATAGCTGACCTACATTAGGAAGACTAATGTTTTGACAAGAAAATGAGGATGAAAAAGTCATTCCTGATACAGTATCAACTGAGATACATTTTATATTTGCAAAAGAGATTCATAATTCTGATTTGAAAAAATGGGCAATAGAAATAAGTTTGAGAAGAAACACTGTGGAGTTTAGCACTAGCTAAAGTTAAGTACATGAATATAATCTTTACTGGAAGTTAACTTACAAAGTGCTTCACAGAATTTCTTAAATGAGTAAAAAAGATTAGAAACCTCATCTAGATGCAAAGACTAACACGACCAAAACACCGAGTGCCAAGAACTAAAACAATTTCTTTCAAAATAATAAAAATAAGGATCCTTTTCTTATGACATTTGCCACTCTGACATTCAAATTTTTGCTTTAAAAATTGCTTACTCAATTCTCTAAGTAATATTCATTTATGGGAAATTAAAATTTAGTCTTACTCTATCTAGCATAGCCTAAAATGTTGTTATTTTGGCCTAGGATTTGAATTTTTAAAATTACTGTCAGTTGGGGATTATTAGATTGGTTGGGGATGTAGCTCAGCGATGAGTTAATAATAATGTTAAATAATTCCATGAAAAATGTTTCATATCAGGTTGCCTAGAGTTCTCTGCAATTATTTAAAAACTAGAGGCAGGGACTAGGGAGTCAGCTCAGGGGTAGAATTTACCTAGCACACACCAGAAGCCCCAGGCCCTACCCTCAGTTCCAAGTGGTGGGGTGGGGAGTGTTGAGGCACTATCACTTACGAAAGTATCCAGACAACTCAAGTCAAAATTAAGAATCATTACAGTTTTCATATAATTGTCACACTAAGTTGACTTTTAAGCAAGTCAAGTGCACCAATCCTGGGGAAGATAAGGAAAACTTTACTTAGCACAAATGACAAATGTAAGATCCTTTAAGATTTAGAAATTTAGTGCTATTTCTATCTACTATCTGTCATCTCTCCTTTCTCATTAGTTGGGTACAGAGCTGAATTCTTTACAGTTCAGTGTGCACAACATAACTCTACTGTGTAAATTCACTTATATATATCTTTAAAAGCAACAGAAGTAAAAAAAAAAAAAACCAAATATGAAAATATACATCCCTTCTCTACACTACTCATTCTATGCAGGGCTTCTAGGAAGTGGCAAGGTAACTCAGTATCAGCACCAAATCTCTGTGTACGCCTATTCTACAATTTCATCTGTGCCTTCTGTGCTCAAAGCCCTTGGCTGAGGGTGCACCACTGTGCACAGGATGACCCCCAGGAATCTGCACAGAGGTTCATCAACAGACTTTCACCAAATGTCACACACAAATAGGGAAATGCACAGCCTGACTGACAAAGCAACTGTGCGTACCTTGTCCTCAGAGCAATGGGTCCTGGAAAGGGGCTCAAACTGGGCAACGACAAGATTACAATGGACCTTGCTTTGCTCAATTGTCAATTTCATGCCAACTGGTACAAAGACTTCCAATTCAAATCTAGTTTACTGTACCAAGGAAATACAATGATTCAAATATCCTATGTTGAATATGAAGTTAGGTTTCCTAACTTGAATGTTTTGTTAAACTTCAGTGTAATGAATACTGATTGAGCCTGAACAATAGAAGAGTAGCAAGGGAGAGCCTACAGAGAGCCTAGCCAATAAGTGATCTCCAATGCACTTTGTTAAACCACAATACTGTACTGTCTTCACTATTTTTATACTCAAAATGAAAATTAGCTTAAAGCTGTAAGTTAGGTTCCACTTAATTATACTTGGGCCTTTTATGAACTGGCATTATGCAGAGCACTTGGCATAAAAGTAGGTCTTTGGTAAATGTTTACAAAATTAAATTCACATTCATAGCAACCAAGTTTAATCTAGTAGTAGAAAAGGGAAAAGACAACTTTACTTAAAAAAGATCTGGGTTAAGTAAAATGATAGGAGGCAGCATAGAGTTTATTATCCTCCTAAACAGGATTCAGATGGACTTATTAAAAACATAATACTTCTGCATTTACAAAAAAATAGATTCCACATTCCATTATTTTTTCTAAGGGAGAATGATTACAGAAGTAAGTACAGCACTGCATCTCCTACAGCATAAGTTCACTGTAACTTAAGCCTCAGGTCCAGCAGGTGGGGCTAACAGGAGAGCTGGGCTCAGAAACCAACACTACCTGCAACCCTATCATTTCCACCCACACACACTTCCCACCTCAAACACAAAACTTCACACCTGCCAAGAATATTTCCTATCCCAGCAGTTCAACAATATTTACCATCCTCATTCTCTACAACTTAAAAATTAAGTTCTAGTTCTCACAAAAATTATCTTTTATTTTCCTCTAACACTCTCGAAATATGTTTTTTTCTTCTAGTATCAGATACAATTCTGTTTGCACAAATGAAAAATATAAGTTAAGGAAAATTGCAACTAATCCTAATTTTATATTAGTAAGCGCCCTTTTACAAAAATATCAATAATATACATTGCTTTACGTTTATTTCTTCAAACTGTAACTGCTTTTTCACATCAAATTGTATCCCTATTAATGCAAATAAAACACGAAAATAAGTCCAATAATGATTTCAATAAAGATGTTCACAATCTTGAGAAAAGGTAAAAAAATGCTTAAACTGTCGGTGCTTTATAACTAGCAGATGAACTACTTCCTCAGAAACAATATATCTAACGGCTGAAATCACACATTAGCCTTGGGCAACACAATTACTAACCTCAGCTATTTAGACAAGTCCTTTGAATAAGTACTGGTACTCAATAAACAATAATTAAGGTTTTTAAAATAACAAATTTTTTAAAAAAAATAAAACCACAAATTTTCAGAACTTGATCAGCAATCTAAAGGAAATTTTAGCTAAATATAGGAATGAGACCAAAAGGAACCAGCTTTGGAAACCACAACATAATTCATAAATAGCTGCAAATCAAGAAAGCCTCTAAATCCTTATATCCTTAAATCCAATACTGAGTTTACTTTTGAGTTACCACCTAATATACATGTGGGTTTCTAGTTTAAACCTGTTTGGTAAAATTCTCTATATAAATGTTATCGACTGAACCAACAAAGCTAATCAGTCAAATAAGCCATTTAAATAGTTCCTGAAAATTAAATTAAGCTAAATAAGACTCTCTGGTTTACATACAAGTGACACTACAATTTTATGGTCTGCTCCATTTTCTCCCAGTTTTAAAAAAGAAAACATATCCATTCGTTTAATGAAATATGAACAGACTAGAAGGTCAAACTGAAAATTCAAATAAAATAAAATGCATATATTTAAATAAGAGCCAGTTAATGGGTGTTTTTTTCTAATTAAAGATAGCATTAAAGAGCATAGAGGTAAAGGGTACATGCCTGGGTCTATGCATACAAGAGGGAGAGAAAATATGAATGTATGCTTTTTAAAAATACTTGAAAGTGGAACTTTCAGTTAAAAATATACAACAAATGTTTTTTTTGAAAAATAAGCAGATCTCATTTTTATTCCCTGAATTTGAGATACATAACCCCCCCACATCCCCCACCCTCTTACAAACCAAGGACTTTTCCTTTTCACTTAACCTAGAGCAGTAACAAAATCAGAATTCATATCTTTAAGATGAAAGGCATTCTGCTGACGATCCTAACTTGAAAATTTTACAGTTAAGTAAAATTAATTCCACTTTCAAAAATCCACTGCCCCTAAGTTTTTAACAAACATTTTCCGTGGTAGCGATTCTAGTCAATATTTACTGACAGTTGTGAAGTAGCTGGAGCCCTTGCATCTCTTACAGAATGTGTGGGTTCTTCCCCTTCAGAGTAGAAGGGGAGCTGCTTACTCACTGGGAATCTCTGGGGTCCCACGGCGGGCCTCGGCTGGCTCGGAACTGGCAGCAAGGGCACTGTAACATAAATCCCTGTGTTACCATCACTTCCCATCTGGCCCCATAGGAAAAATAGACAACGTATAAAGTCTCATGTAAGACACACACGTGTGTAGCATACACACTATAATACACTAGGTTTACACTTGAGCTAAGCAGAAGGCAGAGCAGGTTTCTTCAGCACACAAGCATAAGCTGAAGCTGTGAATTACTATTAGGAATTAAAGTTATTTTGCAACAAAAGAAGACAGTATTCCTCTAAAATAAAACACCTAGCTTGTTTTCCACATCCTATATAGGTTATCTAAGCTATCCAATTCCAGTGATATTTCCTACCCTAATAATACTCAAATTTAAATCTAAACCCTCTAAAGTCATGAAAAGGAAGGAGGAGATAAGGCCAACAGAAAGGAAAATAGCATACCCTAGAAATTGAAGGAAATGCTCATATTCTTACAAAGAATGACCACATGAGCAACCTATTACGCTAAGATTTTCAACTATTTGTTTTCAAACAACTAAAACTCTCACCAACCTATCAGATGACCAAAACATCATTTTTAAGAAGACATGTCCTAACAGAGAAGTGAGATGTTACTTCTGCACCGAGGCTAAATTAGATATGCTAAGCTCTTTAAAACATATCACTCTACTGATCTTGATTCTGAAAAAAAGCTCCCACCTCTGAGGAAGCTGTCTCCTTCACTCAAACGTACTGCCACAGGCACCTAGGAAGCTCTTGGATGATTGGAAGCTGGGGAATACATTTTGTCCCCAAATTTGTATGTTGAACCTAGCCCTGGGACCTCAAACGTGATGTGTTTGGAGACAAGGTGTTTAGAGAAGTAGTGAAGGTAAAAGGAGGTCTCTGTGGTGAGGTGCAGTCTAACCTGTCTTGCTTCTCAGAAAGGCCAGTTTGGCCACAGCCACGTGCACACACTGAGGGGGTGACATGCGGGACACAGGGCACAAGCGGCCACCGGCAAGTCAAGGACAGGCTGCCCTTGCCTTCCCCTTGAGCAGGCAGACTCCAGACCGGGAGAGCAAGCTCTGTGGGGTGAGCCCCCAGCCTGCAGCACGCGTTGAGCACCCCACTGCTGACGGGGAGATGCAGTTACCATCAGCAGCGCCTTCGCCTCAGGAACTCACCACTGCTCCAGACCCACTCTCAACCTCCCGTCACCATGACGCCTGTCACCAGCCCCTGTGGCCTCCCCCTGCCAAGGAGGTCAGCTCCTGATCACGGCCACAGCCTGGACGACTCATCCTGTCTGTGGCCCGGCTCTCCCAGCACCCTACCCCTCAGCCCCATGCCACCTCAGCCCCACACCTTGTGGCTACCTCAGCAGTGCGCACGACCTTCCTGTCCACGACTGCAACACAGCCAGCCTCTGGCTCTTAGCACTACTTTGTCTTCCCACCTCGCTCTTTCAGGACCCTGCTCTCCAAACCTCCCTCCTTATCACCTCCTGGCCCAGCCCCACCTGCCCAGGAGGTGGGCATAGCTGGAGAAAACAGCAGGCTGCTGCCTGCCCCCTGCACGTCCTTCTTTAGTCCTACAGCGTGGCTTCAGGACTTCTCACCTCAGACTATCTGTGTCCCCAACCTCCCCACTTAGGTGCTTGCACCAGCTCCAGAGCACCGTCTGCCACCAGCCTGCCACCGGCTTCGCTCCCAGTGGTGGCCATGGGTCTCAGCCTCACCTCAACACACCATTCAGTCCTGCCAAGACAAGCTTTCTATCTTGCCTGCAACAATGACTGGTTTTCTCTAAGTATGCAGTACAACCCTGCACAGCTTAAAATGAGAAGCTTTCTCTTAAACCCACTTCCTCCTCCTGACTACCAATAAATCCATGTTTTACAGAATACTGCCGAAAGCCTGGCAACAATAACACGCACTCTGTGCCCCTTCTCAGCCAGCCTAATGCCGCCTCCTCTTCACCCCAGAACCCTGGAGGCCTTCCTGGCACTCTACCCTCCCACTTACTTCCTCCACTCAGATGTAACATATACCAGAGAGTTTCCAGTCTCCTCCTGCTCAGTGATGGCAAGCCCCCCATCCTACCCACTGGCATCTCCAAGTAGGCCCTTGCTATCCTTGCTGCCAGCCTACCTACTCCCTGGGCTCCCATCATCACCTCCAATTTCCCCCCAGGTCACTCGATGGGCCCTCTCACACGAGAGCACACACGCCATGCCAAGCCATTCTTCATAACCTGGAGAGGAAAGCCAAGTCCACGGACAGCTCAGACATGACTTGGCTCTGCACCTTTTCTCTGCTTCTGTCATCCCTCTAAAGTCACTTTGGACTCCTGATGGTTTCAAGCACACAAGGCCCAGGCTTGCCTCACTGAATAAGCCACTGGTATGTGCTGGTCCCTCTGCCTGTGACCTTCTTCCCTAAAAGCCAGCTACTGAAGCCACTCTAATGGCTCCACTGATGCCACCAGCCCCTCCCCACCCTCTCTGTGCTCCTGCTGCACCATGCCGTGCCACACTGCACCCTTATCACTACATTCAGTGCTAACAGACTGCCTCAGTCCATGAGAGCCACAGAGAGCTCTATCTGCTCTGTCTTCCTCATGCTTGAGGTGCCACGACGAAGCAGTGCGCTGAGCAGTATACACTGCCACATGCAGGGCAAGGTGCCAAGTGCAGCTGCTCACAACAGCACTCAGTCCTGGACCATGTTCCTGTTCTCACAGCACCCATGGGGACAGCAATGTAGTAACTACAAGATGACCTGGGGTGAAGTAAAGGAGTCCACTTGGTGGGACTCAAGAGGGTCACTCATCACTTCCATCAATACCCCAGGAGACACATGAAGTAACTACTCAGGCATCTCAGCAGCTATCTCTAGTATGCACTTCCACTGAGAATGTCCTTTTGGTACTTTCCACTCTATCAGAAAACATAAGCTTGTCACTGTGCAGAAATTAACTAGGCCATCAAACTAAGTGTGTCTAAGGGATGGGGAAAGGACCAAGGGAACAATGCCTGTTCAAACTTGAATTCGGGAGCATCTGCCACACAGACAGCATGGCCCTGGATCACAGCACCTGCAACTGCACCAGCACCGGGACAGAACACGCACCTTGAACAGGGGTCACTACCGTGCCCTTGAAGTGTGGGTTGATGTGGATGTTCTTGGGCTGCTGCGGAGTCACAGGAGGTGGTGTCAGCATCACTCGGGGGGCCTCCATCTGCGGGGGCATGTGCACGCCCTGAGGGGGGGATGGATGATGCGGGTGCTGCAGTGGGAGCAGAGGCTGAGGGTGCTGTTGCTGCTGGAACAGGCTCCTGATGGGCTGCTGCTGCTGTGGTGGAGGTGGAGGGGGTGGCTGTGGCTGTGGAGGGGGGATCAATCTCGGAGAGTGAGTCTAGAAACCACAAGAAAGAAAAAGGCACAGAAATCAACACATGCAAGAAATGCAAAAAAATGCTGCTGTGCTATTTGCTTATAATGATTAACTTAAAATTTAAGATTTAAGTCCACAGTAACAACTTGTATAAAAACCACAGGAAAAATAAGCTGCTCCATCTACCAGAGAGAGGGACAACTTCACAGTCAGCCAGTCTACAGCAAGGAGGGGAAAAAACAGCAGCTCCAGAACACCCACCACGAACTTCAGAAGGAAAAGTGTAGTCCAGCAACCCAAACTGCTCACACCAAGCAAAGCTGACCAGCTGGGGATAGGACAGAGCTGCCCTTGACCTCCAGGTATGGCTAACCCCATCCCTCCAGTTCCAAGAGTCTCAGGAGGCATATGAGAACACGTGAGCAACCCTGTCATGGACCTGAGACTTAAGAAAAGCCCAGGGCTGCAGAGAGTGATGCCACAGGGGTAGAGGGAACTTCTCTGAGAAGCTGGTGCTGCACCCAGCTACGATGGAAGAAAAGCAGGGCACTACGCAGGTGAGTAAAAGAAACACCTGACAGACGCCCACTGGCCTGTTTGGTAAAGAAGGAAACCAGTATGGCTGCAGCACATGAAAAAAGAAAGGAAGGCAGTGGTCAAAGATCTTCAAGCTGTTTTGTCCCACAGTCACTATGGAGGGGAAAAGCAACAGCAGCAGCCACAATACCCTGAGTCCCCTCATCTCAAGTCCACTATGAGGCCAGCCCAGGGGGTAGCACACCTATCCCCCCACCCCGTCCGAGGGGGTAGGTCCTCTTTACCAGACCATGCAACTGGGAAGCAAAGAGCTGGAATCAGAACTCACACTCTCTGATTCCACAAGTTTTGCTTTTAACTGCTAATCAAACTGACCACACAGCTAATGAACAGTAACACTACTAGTTTAGCAGGGTAATTTAACAAGCAGTTTCCCCTGGGATGATGCCAAGTTATAGTGGGTGAGTACTGCTGAATTCCAAGGGAAAAATCATTGTTATGCCACATACAATGCACTGAGGAGAAACCCTGAGGAGTCTTTGGTAGGAAGATAGTCACTTGTAGCGGCAAGTGAGGTGGATGAGAGGAATAGGAAAGAACAGAGCGGCCCACCGGCCATGGCTAGAGAGAAATGAAAGAAACAGTCAAGGGCCGAGGGACAGCAAGGACACCCTTTAAAGGAACAATGTGCAGAATTTAAAATGACATTGTAATGGCCTTGGCTTCCTTTCTATCCTTCCTTAGGGAAGACTTTTCCAAAGATTCCAAGATTCCTGCTTCCAGAATCCAGGCCACACCTTCTCGCACTCATCACCTTTTAATACACACATAATGAGAACAGGGACTGTTCTCATCAATGTGTCCCCGGGCAGAGCACACGCCCCACCACAGGAATACCCCAAGTGAACTTAATGGAACCGAAAAGGACTACCGTACAAGTCATAATATAAGAAAAGGATAGTGGAGTTTGAAGAAAAGATCTTGTTTTATCCACTTCAAGAGAAGTTTAGGTCCTGTGAAACACCCACGTGGAGACCTTACAGGGATAGCTGATATGGAGATGGGAATGGATGGTTAAGAAAGCTGCCCAGTGAGATGAGAAACAATGCAACAAAAAGGTAAAAGAGTTTTAAATATTCTCATACACACACACACACACACACACACACACACACACACACACACACACACACAGAGAAACAAAAGAATGTGAAGTAATGGAGATGTTAATTAGTTTGATATAATCACTGCACAAATGTTTACATGTACTGTAACATCACAGGGGGAGGGAGGGGGGAAGGAGAGAGGGGAGAAAGAAGGGACAGTTCTAGAAGAACGAACATCCCAAATCTCATATACCCAAACAAGAGCAGCTCAAGATAAAGGCAGTAACAGTGATGCCCAAGGCCCCAGGCTGTGGTCCACTGGACCAGCGCCCACACAGTGAATCCACTCTTGGACCCTGGGAAAATGGACTCTAGCAGCAAAGAGGGACTGACACAGGGAGACAAGGAGAAGCAGGCATGAGGCCCAGTTATTCCTTCTCGAATGTGGGGTGAAGGGTCATGGGATGGGGCAGCCCTGCTTCTGCAGTCAGCTGGCAGCTAGAAAGTACCACTGATAGGCAGATGATAGCCAAATGAAACTGCATAATAGCCTCCAGCTAGGCAGACACAGTCAGGCAGCTACTTAGTTAGCTTCACAGTTGGATCAGTCAGATCAGAATTCAGAGACAGCTTTGCTGTCAGGATGCATGTTGCCTTCAATTCTGGGACAGTTGTTCAAGTGTTTCTCCATACACTCTCCCTTGGTTAACTTCTCTGAGTTATGTGATCCATATCCTCCCTTTCTTGGTTAAAAAAAAAAATCCTGTGACTTTCCCAGGATCATGGGTCCACAATTACATACAATCCCATTTCTCGCACAGTTGTTTTTCTCCATAAGGCCCAAATACCTTGTGCTAGCTGTTCCATATATGCCATGTATAGGCTTGGGCTGGCACAGGGGCAGGGAACGAAGAGGAAACTAAAGATCTGGCCCACCTGCTAGCAAAAGTGTTTAAGAGCCAGTTGTGTGCGCAACAGCAGCTCCAATGCCACCAAACACTCAGGCTGCCATCCACCCAGCTCCTTCTCTTCCTGTCCGGTGTATCAACATGGGGCTCTAATGCTGAAGCAAAACTCCCATCTTCTACTGGATGATCTCACAAACGAATGACTCCTACAATGTTTCTGCACAGAAGAAAAGTGCACACCGACAGACACATGGCAGACACTGACTGTTTCTTCTTAAACTCCTTTCAAAGGCGAAAGCCATAAAATCCTTGGACTGGCAAAGAAAACAACGAAAAAGGACACTACTGGGCCAGGGATTTAGCTCAGTGGTTCTGCCATCTGCCTTGCAAGTGGAAGGATCCAAGTTTGAGCCCCGGTACCAAAAAAAAAAAAAAAGACACTACTCCTGTCTTTGCTCCTAAGACATCCCATAGCAAATACAGAAGAAATTTAACTTAAGTTGAAATTACATGATTTATTCCTAAATTACAAAAACAATTTTATGGATAGCATAGGCCAATTAAGAAAAATGCTATCTATGGAAAACCTATGGTAAACAGTATACATAAATTTTTATTTTGGTACTGGGGATCGAACTGGACATTGCACTTGCGAGGCAGGCGACAGAAACACTGAGCTAAATCCCTGCCCCTACAAAAATACTTTTATAAAATAATCTATTACTGCTTAAAATCTGTACATCATAAGGCCAGCTTTCGAAGCAGTACTCTGAAGAGATTGCCTCCCTCTCCAGTGGCAGAGGAGCAGGGTGAACTTCACCAGGGCCTGGTCTTCAGGACACCAGGTCATCAGTGTTTCTTGGGCAGTGCTGATTATCAAGTACTGCCAGGTTAATGGAGGACTCATTTCTAACACCATGCATGAAATCATATCAGACTATGAAGCAGAAACATTCGTCTTAGAGCTTCTCTGTAATTTCATCCTAAGAAGAGGTGAACATAAAAACACCACCCACAAAGAACACTTGGGTTGCTCTGAAGTTTTCAGGCTAACTGGGAATAGGACAGTGGATTACCATGCCTGGAGGTTGCGTAGGAAGCAGGGCAGGCCTGTGATCTTTCATCCTCCCCCTCTCACTGCTCTCTCTTCTCTGGTCTCCCATGCCACGACACATCAGAGAGCCACCTCTCCTGCCTCCTCGCCGGGATCCGTAGCGTCCTTGCTTGTGCTGTCGCTCTCTTTCTTCAAATTCAAGCAATGCAGCTTTGGCTTCTGCTGAAAGTTCTATTTGAAAAGACGCATACATGTTAGATGCCTTCAAACAGCCCAGAGGAGATTCACAAGAAAACACAGGAAAGAAACATATGACAGTGGAAGTAGAGTGGCATGTGCTTCACCAGCATGTTGCCAGTGATGATACTCACACCTGGGAGATCTGTTATATGAAGTTTTTCCTTTGCACTTTGTATGTTATTAAATATAAGCATCATTCATGAATTTTAAAGTATTTGCACTTGAGACCACTAAGTGTGCTGCATAAAGCTAAAAAGAAGTGGCTGGCATCACATGTAACTGCTGTCTTACACGGCCAGGTATTCCGCAATCACTTCCTCTTTTCACCGAGGCAGGTGATGCTGGTCAGGACAGCTCTCCCTCCCCAGTCCTATGGTACCAAAACCACCTTCCCACCGAGGCCAGGAAGAGAACATCATCAATACACAATGGCACAGAGACTCAAACACATTCCTGATCATTCTGATTTAAAAAAAAAAGCTATTAATGAACTCACTCTGAAATCAGATTATAGAAGTTAATTCTCTAAAGAACAGAAATACCCTTCCATTTCAAACCTTCATATTCATTTTTTTAAAAACTTCACTCTGTGAAGTCGGATATGGACACCTTATCCAATAGAGCAAGGTCATACAAGGAAAAGCTCAGTAACACAGACACTGGCAGAGCATGGAGCAGCTGCTCACTCACTGCCCCATGCTTCACAGGCACTGGACCTAAGAAACCTCCTATGCTGCATTATTCTAAGTGCCTTGGGGACAAATACTGATTTACCCAAATAGGCTTCCTTTATTTTATAATAGTATCTAAATCGTGATAAATACATCTTACATTAGTAAATACATATTTTCTGAAGCAATCAGTGGAAGCCTTCTCATGCATTCTTTCACAGCAGAGTATGTTTCAATTTAAACATCACCAAAGCCCACTTCCTACTGCGGACTCAATCATCACTTCCAAATTCTTCCAAAGTCTCTGAGCCATATTTTATTTTCTTGTAATTGTTTCTGCGGTATTCCTTTTCCCTCCAAATAAATCTAGACCCCAGTTGAAAGAAAACTTAATCTCCTTTTCACCAGCAGACTTTTATTCTAATCTTGACTATATGATTGGTTCACACACACATTTTATGCAGTGAATCAGCAATTATTTTTCTAGTGGTTTAAGTGTCAAGATTAATTTCACTATCCTCAGTAATAAAATGGTTTCAAATGACATCTTTAATCAGCAAGTAAAAATGCTTTCCTCCAATTGAGACAAGCTGTCACAAAAGGTCACCAAAATATGACACGATGGAAATTACATTTGTAACTTCAACTGAAATGTTAATTTCCCTTTAGTGTTTTCCAGATTCTAAAGAGATATAGTGCAACTAACAAAGTTTTGTACTGTCTCTTTCTAAAATGTTAAGATTATTTGCATGCAAATAACTAACAACTGGAAATGATTGATATGCAACACACAATTTACTTGGCAAAGTAAATATAGCAAATGGTAGTCTGAGATTGTTTTTCTTTTTACAAGATAAGTGAAACGAGATGTTTTTTAAACCTTGCAAATACAAGGCCCACAACAAGACAGCATGGAATGCTGGCACTAACAACTTAAATTCTTCTGTCACTAGATGAAAATGCTTACCTCACGGATACTTAGTCTTGAATGAAATTAAGTAAGGATATTAGTTTGAGAATACTCTGTAGGTATAACAAGGTATTTTAGGCTAAAGCAATAAAAATTTAATGTATTACATGTCCCAGTGAGACTTAGCACAACATTAAATCTCGAAGTCTACTCACAAATAATAACTTAAAATCCTAACTGAAATAAATGTGGCCTTTCATTTATGGCTTGCGCTGCTTAAAAAGACCACCTGAGGTCACTTCCTAGAACAACAGAATGGATAGCTCTGAATTACAGGGCTCACATCTGTGGGAAAGAGGTCAATGATACCTTCTCTGAGAATGCTGTGACATTTTCATTCAAAATCAACCACTCCCTTACACATATGTTTCAGCAGCCTTGCTCAGGTGGGTTCCGCAAGAGAACGATTTCCACTCCACAGCATCCTTCACATGCTGTGGATTAATTTATCTTCTGAATATGCAGTTTTACACCATCCCTGGGGAAACTGAGAAAAAAGGCACACAAATCCTTCTGTGGAAGGTTTAATTTCCAGGATCCTAGCTGGGAAAAATGCTAATGATCTAAGATACTAACAAGATGAAAACCCCAAAATTCTACTTCTAACTCAACCTACAGTCAAAACACAAACCAAAAACTGTGCATCAGGTTCCTTAACAGTCAAGACTGTCATGCACTAGAAATAGTGTTTTCAAAGATGATGCTATATGTATGAATGTGAACGAAGACTAAAAAGCCAAAACTCCCTTCTAGATTTTGAAAAGAACTCACCCCTTCACATGCAAACTCTTAAGAGGCAGAAATGGCAAGCACCACAGCATTATTTGATTCTTCTTTTTAAAGAATGGAGTGTTTTCAACATTTACCAATGCTTAAAAATTGTTTTTATTTGTAAACAAAATGTTAAAAAAAAACATTGTTTTAAAAATACCTATCATATGAGACAACATATATACGCTGGGAGCAAGATACTTTAATCTCATTACCAAAAGCAGGCAACCAGCTTTATTTATACAATCAAGTAAATGCAATTACATCTACACAGACCCTGAGACTGCTGTTTCTATCACCAGCAGGACCCCACAAACCAACAGGCAACAATTCATGCAAATGAGGCACCAACAGTCACGGAGCTCATTCTCTTGGGAAACCAATCTATTTAATCAGGTATAATTCTAACTTTGCAATTTCTGGAAAACCTGTCAAGACTCACAAATATGGAGCGAAGAAAGGACTTTTAAGCAACATTTTCTAGAAAAAGAACCACATTCTATGCAAAAGCACTTACTGCTTCTAAGGACCCTGGATTTCTTCCCTCATATACCAAGGGAGTGACTTGCCCATAATGAATGAAACTTTCCAGGCTCTTGTCGCAAGATAACATCACTATAAAGTTGCTAGGCAACTAGACAAGGTATAGGTATAGGTGTAGGAGTGTGTGTGTGTAGGTGCGTGTGTGAGTCCTTTGAACAAAAGGGTAAAGGATTCTGAAAAGAAATGATTCAAACGTCCTGCAAAGACAGACATGCAGGGATGAAACACACAAAGCTTACAGATGTGGGCCAGCTGACAACATCTCAGAATGAGGACACTATTGGTACTTGACTAGGAATAGAACTAAGGAGGCGGCAGGTACAGGCAGACAGGTAGTGTGGGTGGGGAGGTGACACAGGAGGCAGGTGACCCAGAAAGTCCACCATGCGCAGCAGCCACCAGGCTGCAGCATAGAGGTACCCATTCACACTGCTGGCTGCTGACCTCACAGCTGTAGGAGCACTCAGGGTCTAGGCTCTTACACTTCAGGTTTCCAGTGGAGCCACTCAAATACCTAGCCCAGACAATGAGGGCCACAACCAAGAGATGCTGCCCAGTGTACTCGGTGTTCAACCTGGCACAGAGATTATCCAAACCTAGGATTATGAGGTCTCTGATCCACTAAATTTGTTCTGGAGCCAATTCCTCTTCAAGTATTTTTGTTTCTTCTAACTTCCTGTTTTAAGATATTTGTTCCATCTCCTTTTTCCCAGGGTAAAATTCAGGTCTACTTTCTTAGAAACACGGTAAGTTTTTTTTCTAATTAATTTTATTGGTACATTTTAGGTATACAATATAATGACATTCATCATTGGAAATCTGCACCTGTACATAATCTCTCTTGGTTCTTAATTTTTCCCCTTCCCCTGCCTTCCCTTCAACCCCTCCATCCATCCCTATTTACAAAGACTTTATTTCCAATTTTTCATTTACTCATATTAATTCTATTCCCTTCTTTCCTTTCCCTACCACTACTACTACCCCTTCCCCTTTGCCCCTTTTCTTCCTATTTCACATTATCTATTATACCTTTTAGTCCTTATTTACACTTCCAGTTTCTCACACTAGAGAAATTATTCAGTATTTACATGTGTCCTATTTATTTCACTTAAGAGTATGGCCTCAATGTGGATCCATTTAGGCATAAATGTCTCTAATTTCTCATTTTTTATGACTGAATAGTACTCCATTTTATTAAAAAAACACATTTTCTTTATCCAGTCTCCAGCTGATGGGCATTTGGGCTGTTTCCAAGTTTTAGCTATTACAAACTGTGCTGCTATGAACATGGGTGCACATATATCACTGTGGTATGATTCTTTTAATTCTTTGGGGAAGATACTCAGCAGGGGAATAGCTGGATCAAATGGGACTTCGAGTCCTAGTTCTTTGAGGTATCTTCATACTGATTTCCACAGTGGTTGCACCAGTCTGCACTCCCACCAGCAGTGGAGCAGGGTTCCTCTTTCCCCACAGCCCCACCAGCATTGGTTACTGGTTGATTTCATGATAGCAGCCATTGTTTCTGGGGTGAGGTGGAATCTCAGCATTGTGTTCATTTGCATCTCTTGAATGACCAGTGATGTTGAGCATTTTTTCATATGTTTATTTGCTATTTCTACTTCTTTGAGAAATGTCTGTTCATTTCAGATGCCCATGTTTGGACTGGGTCTTTAAATTTGGGAGGTCTGATTTTTTAAAGTTCTTTATAGATTCGAGATAGTAGACCTTTGTCTGAGGAACAGCAGGTGAAAATTTTTTCCCATATTGTGAGTTGTCTCTACACTGTTGGTGGTTTCTCTTGTTGTGCAGAAGCTTTTTATTTTTTGGTACCAGGGATCAAACTCAGGTCCTTGCACTTGCACAGCCGGCAGCAAAACCACTGAGCTAAATCCCCAGAACCTAGAGGCTTTTTAATAAGAGATCCCACTTGTTGATTGTTTGTGCTAGCTCACAGGCAACTGAGGTTTTGTTCATAAAACCTTTTCCTACACCAATGTCTTTGAGAGTTCTACCTAACCTCTGTGCCAGCCGGT